CAATAAGTTTCATAAAAATATTAAGTCATTCTGGAAAGTAGAAATCTACATTAGCTGGAGCCTGGGTGGCTCAGTCATTAAGCATCTGCCTTTGGCTCAGGTCATGATCCTGAGGTCCTGGGATGGAGCCCCACATTGGGCTCCTTGCTCAGCAGGAAGCCTGCTTTTCCCTCTCCCACTCCCCCCACTTGTGTTCCCTCTATTGCTATGTCTCTCTCTGTTAAAAATCTTTAAAAAAAAATCTATATTAGCTGCCGATTCTGCTAAGAGACGTCAAAGATGGGGTTGTTTAAGCCACATACCTTATTATTATTTGAATCGATGACATCATCTGTGTAAGACTCACCATTATTTAAGTATCATTAAAACAAAACATTGCCATTTAAACTACTACACAATGCGAAAACATTATTAGAATCAGTGAAATAGCGGCGCCTGGGTGGCTCAGTAGTTAAGCATCTGCCTTTGGCTCAGGTCATGATCCCAGTGTCCAGGACGCTGGGATCCAGCCCTGTATCTGGCTCCCTGCTGAGCAGGAAGCCTGCTTCTCCCTCTTCAGCTTCCCCATGGCTGTGTTCCTTCTCTTGCTATCTCTGTCATAAATAAATAAAATCTTAAAAAAAAAAAAAGAATCCGTACTCTTTTCACAAGCACAAGTAATTACAGTATTCTGAGGAAACCTCATAAGCTGAGAGCACTGATAATTACTGGTCAAAGGAAGTCATATAAAACAGTTGTAATCAACATGCTTAAATTCTATCCTCAGTGGAATTTTTAAAATGGAAATTTCAAACCCAGTCCTTCAGAGACATGAGGCTACCTCCAAATCAGGATATAAACAATTTGGTAATTAACAGTTTAAAGAGGCAATTAAGTTTCAGTTAATAACACTGATGAATATGTAAGAAAACATGTGGAATTCTCAATTAGATCATGACTCTTTTCCTCTCTAGATTGTATGCAGGTGTCCCCTTCCTATTGAAAGATTTTTTTCCCCCTTTTTAAAAATTTTTAAGTAGGCCACCCTACCCCCACCCAGGGTGGAGGCCAACACTGGGCTTGAACTCGTGACCTGGAGATCAAGACCTGAGCTGAGATCAAAAGACAGATGCTTAACCAACTGAGCCACTCAGGCTCCCCTTAAAGATTTTATTTTATTTTTTTAAAGATTTTATTTTTTTGACAGAGAGAGACAGTGAGAGAGGGAATATAAACAGGGGAAGCAGGAGAGGGAGAACCAGGCTTCCTGAGGAGCAGGGAGCCTGATGTGGGGCTCAATCCCAGGATGCTGGGATCACAACCTGAGCCGAAGGCAGATGCTCAGCCCTTGAGCCACCGCCCCAAAGACTTTAAGTAACCTCTAAACCCAAATAGGACTTGAACTCACAACCTCAAGATCAAGAGTCACATGCTCAACCCACTGAGCCAGCCAGGTGCCTCTCCCGCTCCTATTTAAATATAGAAGGCTAACAGTATCTTTCATGTGCTAGAGTCTCTGTGTTTACAGACTAAGTCTTCATGTAGCATCTCCCAGGTCCTCTAATTTCAATTTTTTTTCCTAAAAGAAAAAGGAGTTTCAAAAATTACTTTCAATGTAATTGAAATTCAATTCAATTTACCTCTTCTTTGGGGCATCTTCCAGAGTTTTTTGAAGGCTGCCAATTGTAGCTTCCACACTCTTGAGTTGTCTTCTGCTGGATGGCTTTGTTGTTTGTACATTTACTGTGCTTAACTCAATTTTCATGCCCTTAATAATATCTAACAAGTCTTTTTTTGTATTCTCCTTTACACTCTCTGGGCTCTCTGTTTCTTTGGAAATCCCATGCGTTGGAGCAGACTGCTCATCTTTCTTGCTATAATTCACACCGTTAGTCCCAAAGTATCTTTGGACATTATTTTTTGTCCTAGAAAGAAGCATTAAAGAAAAAAAAATGAAAAATACAATCCAAAATAATAAAGGAAGGATTCAAAACACTGCTTTTATGTGTTTTTAAAATTTTCTAATTCGAATCCTTCCCTTTTGTTTTTATTATTGTCAGCAACCATAACAAGAGCAATTTAACATTTTTTTTTAAATTTATTTATTTATTTGACAGGCAGAGATCACAAGTAGGCAGAGAGGCAGGCAGAGAGAGGAGGAAGCAGGCTCCCCACTGAGCAGAGAGCCCCATGCGGGGCTTGATCCCAGGACCCTGAGATCATGACCTGAGCCAAAAGCAGAGGCTTTAACCCATTGAGCCATGCAGGTGCCCCAAGAGCAATGTAACATTTATTGAATATATACTATGTGCTTAGTCTGGTGCAAAATATTTATTACATTTCCTCATACCCGCAACAACTCCGTATTACCCCCATTCTGCAGATAAGGAAAACAGAAACCAGAGAAGCAAAGTGATTTACCAAGGTCATGTAGTGCAGGGCTCACTAAGGCCTAAGATACACTGGTGAGTCACAAAGGGGTTACAGGTGTGCTGAGACTGACTGATCTCAGCTGGGTGCTGCCTGGGGCTGCTGGAGCTCCTATCTGTTGCCTCCCTCCGTTTACCTCAAGGTTTGACACAAGATCATTTTCTATGCATTCTGTGACATTTAAAAAAGGTGATAACTTTGTGATCCACCATCTGTGGTGGAAATATCACCAAGATGAAAGATTTTCATAAAAACCTTATGGGGAAAGACCACTTTCCAGGATGAACCTTCGGATACAATAGAAACTGTAAAGGCCAAGATTCGGGATCAGGAAGGAATTCCTCCTGACCAGCAGAGACTGATCTTCGCTGGCAAGCACCTGGAAATGGACGTACTCCGTCTGACACAACTTTTAAAAGGAGTCCACTCTTCATCTTTGGCTGAGACTTCACCGTGGTGCTAAGAAAAGGAAGAAGTCTTACACCACTCCCAAGAAATTCTTCTTGAGAATTCCTCATGAGAGAAAGAAGGTTAAGTTAGCTGTCCTGAAATACTATAAAGTGGAATCAGAAGTGCCCTTCAGATGGATGTGGTGCTGGAGTCTCATGGATAGCCACCGTGACAGACATTACTGTAACAAGTGTTGTCTGGCCTATTGCTTCAACAAACTGGAAAACAAGTAATTGTATATGTGTTGATAAAAGACATGAACTATGGGGTGCCTGGGTGACTCAGTGGGTTAAAGCCTCTGCCTTTGGCTCAGGTCATGATCCCAGGGTCCTGGGATTGAGCCCCGCATCGGACTGTCTGCTCAGCGGGGAGCCTCCTTCCCCCTCTCTCTGTCTCTACCTGCCTCTCTGCCTACTTGTGATCTCTGTCAAATAAATAAAATCTTAAAAAAAAAAAAAGACATGAACTAACATTAAAAAAAAAAAAAAAAGGGTTCCACAGCCTGCCTGGTTGGCTCAGTCAGGTAAGTGTCTGCCTTTGGCTCAGGTCATGACCCCAGGGGTCCTGGGATTGAGCCCATCAGGCTCCTTGCTGGGGAGTCCACTTCTCCTTCTGCATGCCGCTCCCCCTGCTTGTGCCCTCTCTCTGCGTCTCTCAAATAAGTAAAAATAAAACATTAAAAAAAAAACAAAGGTTGCAAAAACCATGACAGAATAATTAAATTGCAATTTAATATTCTCAGACCCCAAACTGACTACCAAGTCCTTATTCTTAACATAATACTACCTCTTTAAAAGGTATAAAAATACAGATATTTCTTTTTTTTAAAAGATTTTATTTATTTATTTGACAGAGAGGTCACAAGCAGGCAGAGAGGCAGGCAGAGAGCGGGAAGTGGGCTCCCTGCTGAGCAGAGAGCTCAATGTGGGGCTCGATCCCAGGACCCTGAGATCATGACCTGAGCCGAAGGCAGAGGCTTAACCCACTGAGCCACCCAGGTGCCCCCAGAAATTTCTATTAATAAAAAAAAGTTACTTTCTTTAAAAAACGTCTGAGTATTATTCTAATGTCTGGGTGTTATTCTAATCTGATCAACTTTCTCATTGAGCTGCATGTCATTTAACTAATCACCATTTGTAAACTAAGCTGAAATGGACCAGTAAAAAGGATATTCAATGGCTACTTTCCACTTTTTTCATTAAATACATTTGTGAAAAAGAATGACACAAATGATTCCATCTATTTCAAATTCATGCAAAAGATCTGCCAAATCTAAGTCACCCAAATATCTAATTTTTTTTGTGGTGTTAAAACCTTTTGATACTTGATATTGAAGAACTTTTTTTTTTAGAGATGCGTTTATATATTTGAGAGAGAGAGCGTGTGAGCAAGAACGCAAGCACCAACAGAAGGGGCAGAGGGAGAGGGAGAAAGAATCCCAAACAAGCTGAGCACGGAGCCCGATGTGAGGCTCAATCTCAGGACCCTGAGATCATGACCTGAGCTGAAACTGAGCCAGACATTTAACCAACTGCACCACCCAGGTGTCCTGATATTGAAGAAATTAAAAAGCTAGGGCACCTGGGTGGCTCAGTCACTTAAGCATCTGCCTTCCACTCAGGCCACAGTTCTGGGATCCAGCCCCACATCCTCCACGTGGGGCTCCCTGTTGAGTGAAGAGCATGCTTCTCCCTTTCCCTCTCCCTCTGCTCACACTCTCTATCTCAAATAAATAAATCTTTAAAAAAAAAGAAAACACTAAAAAAAAAACGTAAAAAGCTAACGAATGTGTTAGATTAGAAAGGTAAAATGTACAAAAAGTCATTCATTAAATACAATGAATATCTACTCTGTGCTGGATACTATACTATGCATTGACCATTGCATACAAGAGTAAATCAGAATCTCATGGTCCTTATCTTTCTGAAGCTAACAGGCTAGAACACTGTTTCTCAAACTTCAATATGCGTAAGAATTACCTAGGCCTCCCACCAAGGAATCCTTATTCAGTAGCTTTGAGGAGGGACACAAAGTGTTTGCATTTCTAACAAACTTCCAAGTAATACTGATATTGCCCATCAGAGGACTGCATATCTGAGGAGCTACATGACACACGTCCTTTAATCCTTACAATCTCACAGGACAGGTTTCACTACTTCGGTTTTATACAAGAAACTGATGCTTAAAGAGGTTAAATCAGTGGTTCTTAACCTTTAGGGATCATCTGAATTACGCAGGGTGCTTATTTAAAATATATTCCTGAGATTCTTAGTTGCTAAGTTTGGTATGCTGCGCAAGGACCTGCATTTAACCAAGATGCCAGGTGCTTCTGATACAACTCATCTCAAGACCGCACATCAGACCCTGGGCTACATAGTATATCAACTTCTCAAACCTAGCCAATAGCAGTATCAGACTAGGGACCCTTTAATGAAAGAAAAAAAAATGGCTATTGCCAAGAATTCTGAAACAAACTATTTGATCTGCTTATAAAAATGTGAAAGGCTATCAACTAGAGGCACTTAACAATTAGAAAGCAAAACCAATTACATAATGATTATAATCAGTACACAGGATCTTCATCATATCATTCAATATATGGTACGATTCAGTTTAGGAAAATATTATTTCAATGTTAAAGTTAAATATTAAAGGTATTATAACAAAGGTGGCAATCAGGAGAATCTCACATATAACCTCCCATCTTTCAATGTTTCCTTCCAAGACTACTACCGGGCCACAGAAAGTAATCTATGTTTAGTACAGGAAAATCATGTACCGGCAGTAACTCCCTAACACTAAAATAATAAAACTTCGGTCATAACCTCCCACCAGGGCTTGTTTCCACTGAGAGCATTTCATCAGCCCTTCAAGTACAACACATCCAAAGTCACATTCAAGAGCTCCCCTCTCATACTGACTAACCATTTTTCACCCTTCTATACTGAAGGGGCTTCTTACCATAACAGATATTTTGAATTCTAAAACTATGACATATTTTAAAAGCTTTCTCAAAGCTGCTCTTCAATCTTCTATTAACATTAACAGTACACCTGTCTTGTAGGGTAGCCTGCTTAAATCTTTTTTCTACCTTATCATTATTTCATATGCCACATCATATCAATTCTACCTGTGCAGTTTTTCTCCTCCATCCAGCTACTTTTTCCCATCTCCATTGCTACTAACCTGCTTTGAGCTACACTCAACCATAGTGACCCTGGCCCCAAATCGTTCTGCTTGGACTATATGCAGTAGAATTAAGTTTCCATAATGATGAGAGTTCTTAGAGAATAAACAGCAAGACGAAGTATGTATGACTACTTTTCTTGCTTGGCTAGCTCCAACCCTTGGTCCCCCTTTAGATTTTATCGGACTTCTTTTCCAGAATGGATACTCTGAACCTCTCCTGCAATAGTTAGCTGTCCGGACTTGCTCACCCAGCCGTGACTGGAATAAGCATTCTGTGCTACCCACACCATCTCAGCTTCACTCCGCTAAACTTGAATTGCATGCTTGAACTACAAGCTTCGTGGTGGCAGAACTGTTGTTATTCGGGGTTTAACGCCAGTATCGGTACAGTGTGAGTACTTTAAATGACGAATCAAAGAAAAAAATGGAGGCAGGAATGAGACCGTTATAGTCTCGGGAAGTTAAAAAAAAAAAAAAAGAAGGGGGGGTGGGGGAGACAACTCTGCTTCTGGAGTCCGGACTGAATGAGGGGTGGCGTGGCGGAGCGCTCGGGACAGGAGCCAACCTTGTACCCGTAGCTCTGTTTCTCACTCACGTTATGACCTTGGGCAAGTCATTTTAGCTTTCTGGGATTTCCCTTTCCTCAGCTTTAAAGCAACGGCCTCTCAGATCCCGCGGGCTGGAACATCCCCCCCAGGAAGCGGAGAATGACCACTGAATGCCCCGGAGGTTGCCTTGACACCCGCAGGGCCAACAGCGCCGAAATGTGGTACCTGACCGTTCTGTGCGGAGCACCGAGTAGCACAATCGCAGCCTCTGAACCTCCAGAGCATAAAGGGAAGCGGGAGAGAGGGCGTAGAGGTAGGATCGCGGAGACCCTCGGAAACATCGCCAAGAGACAAACCAAACTGGGAGCACAAACGATCAGACCGTCCCTCTGCCAAACACGTCCCCCGCTCTCTCTTTCCGTTCCGCAGCCTGGCGCGTTCCGTCCCTTCACGTTCCGGTGGGCAACAGGGCCTGTAACTGAGTTCCGGGCTCGTCCGCGGCCGGGCTCCGTCCGCTGTGTCCAGGCGATTCTAGTGGCCTAGGTGGAGTGGATGCCTGAGTTCAGCCAAGATGCGCTGGTTCAGGCATCAGGACCCGCACGGGAGAGGGAGAGTGGAGGAAGTGATCTAGTGTGCAATATTACTTTGAGGGGCGGGGAAGAGGCGGAGAACTGACCCTACTGGGCAGTGTCTGGGGGTCGAAGATGCCCAGCGTTCATCACATTCTCAGAATGGCCCGTGGCCATAAGGTTAAAAAAGAAAAATTACCCTGGAACATAGAAATTAGTATTTCTTTTCAGTCTCTGTTCTTGATGTAGAGTCAAAACATGAGACGTGTATGTTTCTTCGCCCGCCCCCCACCCCAAAATTGTTTCAGAGAGAAAAATGTGCAAGAGAAAGGTGTGGTTTCGTCCTGCCCTTGAGGAAGGCCGCGGAGGATGAATGAGGGGTGGTCAGACCTCGGAGTGCATGAGCACAAGACCCGGGAGGAGGCCGGCTGATAAATCACGTGCGAACCTCTGGACTGGACTTGCATGGTGGTCGCTGAAGGCTGACGTCAACTTTCCCCCTACCATTTCAAGAGAGAATCAAGATTGGTGGCGAGTTTTTTGTAAACGGAAATACAGAAAAGCGTATGAGTCATAAACATGTTGAGGAAAACGTGCCTCATGAATTAGTAAGGACTGAAATTTACCCTAGCTCAACTTGCTTCCTTTCTTCTTTTTTAAATTTTTAAATAAATTTTTGAAAGATTGATTGATTTTAGAAAGACTGAAAGAGAGTACGAGCAGGGAAAGGGGCAGAGGGAGACAATGTCCAAGCTGACTCCTGCTGAGTGCACAGCCAGAGGTGGGCCTCCATCCCAGGACCTATGAGATCAGGACCTGCATCGAAACCAAGAGTCCAACGCTCAAAAGACTGAGCCACCCAGGCGGTGCAGACTCTCAACTACTGCTTTCCAAAAGAGGCCTTTAATGATTACCCTAGTTAAAATAGCCTCCTGCACCACCCAGTCCCACTCTCTGGCACGGATTGCTGTTGTCTACCAAACCCCATTTGCCTCTTCCTCTCGAGTTTTCCCTCTGTGTGGCTACAGAGGAAACATTTCCAGCCTTCCTTGCAGACAGGTACCTCTACATTTTATCAACAGAATGTGAATAGAAGTGATGTACCCATAAAAAAAAATGGGCACAAATTCCCCTAAAACTTTTCCTCTTTCTTCCTAGTTGGAATACAGACAAGATTATAGGAGCTGAAGCAGCTAGGAGATGGAGAGGTGAAGGCTTTCAGAGATAAAGGTGAGAGCCACCCTACCTCGGTCCCTTGCTGCCTCCTCCAGACTCTCACAAAGGAAGGGGGGAGGGGAACACTTCCTTCTTGTTTAAATATATTTCTTAGTTTCTCTGTGACAAGTAGTCTAGATTGTATCTAAACTAAGGTACCCTCTATGTCAAAACCTTGTTTCATTTTCTACAGAGTACCACCAACAGAAATTTATCTCATATTTATGTGCTTTTGTTATCTCACTCTGACAGAATGTGTGTTCCATGAGGGAATGGACTTTGTCTTATTCACTGCTGCAGTTCTAGTTCCAAGAACCATGCCTGACATATGATAGATGCTCAAAAGTATTTGGGGAATACATTAATTATTTCCAAGTACAAAATAGGTGCAGAGAGTTTAGGAAATTTGCCCAACTTCTTGCAGCTAATCAATGGCAGAGCTAGATTCAAACTCAGAGCCACTTAACTCTGATATTCTTGTTCATCTTGGAATACCTGAGGGTTTATGATTTTACTTATGCATAAAGTCACATGGAGGCGCTCACTAAACACATAAATGAGTAGCTCAAAAGATCTGAATCTGAGATTCTAGCAAGCACCCAGGTGATTCTGGTGCAGGTGGTCTTCAGACAGAATTTTGAGATATACTACAATGACAGTATGGCTTACTTAGCTATTCATAGCTCTACATTCACTTAGGATACACATAAATAAAAAGTGTTATAATTGGTGTACTATTAAAAGTGATGATCAGACTATTACTTCTGATGAACGTCAAAGTCATAATGCTAGCAAACAGAGCCAGACGTAAGAGACCATACACTGTATGATTCTGCTTCCATAACAGTGTGAAGAAGACACAGCTAAAGGGAAGAAATCAGATCAAAAGTTACCAGGAAGTGGGGATGGAAGGAGGTGATTGGGTACGGCAGAACATGAGGGAACTTTTTATACTTATTGAAATACTCAGGGCGCCTGGGTGGCTCAGTGGGTTAAGCCTCTGTCTTCTACTCAGGTCATGATCTCAGGGTCCTGGGATTAAGCCCCACATCGGGCTCTCTGCTCAGTGGGGAGCCTGCTCCCCCCAGCGCCGCCTGCCTCTCTGCCTGCTTGTGATTTCTGTCTGTCAAATAAATAAATAAAATATTAAAAAAAAACTTATTGAAAAAAAACTGCATCTTGATTCTGGTGGGGGTCATGGCCTTTCACACTTACCAAAACTCAAGACTTGTACACCTAAAATGTGTGATTTTTACTGTATGTAAATGATATATCTCAGCAAAACTGATTTGAACAAAAAAGTTAATTAAAGCAGTTAGAAATCTGCAATTATAAAATTGGTGACAAATTAAACCACAAGAAATTTAATATATCCTAAGAAAAAGAAAAGAAAAAACCTGTCCTTTGAAAAAGTATAATTTGTGCAATGGTTCAAAGCAACCATTTATAAAAGCAACAAAAATGTAGCCTGAAAGTAGAAAATGTTTTTCCTTCTTCTTCTATTCTGCCATGGAATCACTATTCATTTTCTTCTCAGTGCCCCGTGAAATGCACTTTCTAGAACAATGTGCCTTTGGCAAGAGGCAGCAAATCAACTGAAATAGGTCCTGATATACCTCAGGGACTTTGTCCTAAATGTCTCATGAAATTCTACACTAATTAACTTGACAGGCTTTCCATGAGCGGAAAAGGCAAAAATTATTCTATATTCCAGTTACCGATTGCTGTGTAACACACCACCCCAAAACTTAATGGCTTAAAACAATTTATTCTCTCTCACAGTT